CTGCCTGTAGGGAAAACTTCTGAAAACATCTCAGCTCCCTTTAAGTTAAAAACTAAAAACCTTCCCGCTTCTTCTGTCTCCGCAGGATACCCCGCTGGGACGCCCTACAAAGTCCCTCCAACCCAGAGTAATAACGCCCCGCCCCCCTACTCTCCGTCTCCCAACCCCTACCAGACGGCCATGTACCCCATCCGAAGTGCCTACCCACAGCAGAACCTGTACGCCCAGGTGGGTCCGTCCGTCCGTCCATCTTCCGGTCTACAGGCGTTTGGAGGGAAGAGGATACTTGCAGCTCTTGAAGGGAGGAGTCCTTGGGGCTCTCGGAGGGGGTTTTCTCGGGGAAACGTCTCATGACCCAGCTAGGGAACGTCCTCAGGGCTGGAAGGGAAGAGGTTTTGCTTTCTGTTTGTAGATACGGTAGCTTTCACCCATTGCGGCTGCCATGTCCTTATAAACAACCATCGAGAACATCCCCCTCCAGCACGGATAGGGCAGGTCAGGTCTATGTAAAGAGAGCAAACTCCATCCCATCTGGCACTGATGGTGTTACCTAGTTGGGTCATGGAACGTCTGCAAGAAAACAACCTCGCTCAGAGAGCACTGTTGTCATGCTCTTCCTCCTGATTCTCTTCCTTCTCCCCCTTCTATTCTTCCTCCTGTTGTTTCTCTTCCTCCTTTCTCTTCCTCTCCCTCCTCCTTATCTTCCTCCTCCCCTTCTCCTCCTCTTCCTCCTTTCTCTTCCTCCTCTTCCTCCTCCTTATCTTCCTCCTCCCCTTCCTCCTTTCTATTCCTCTTCCTCCCCCTCCTCCTCCCTCCACCCCTCCTCCTCTTGTTTCTCTTCCTCCTCCCCTTCTCCTCTTCCTCCACTTTCTCTTCCTTCTCCTCCTCCTGTCGTTTCTCCTCCTCCTTTCTCTTCCTCCTTTCTCTTCCTCCTCTTCCTCCTCCTTATCTTCCTCCTCTTCTCCTTTCTATTCCTCTTCCTCCCCCTCCTCCCTCCTCCTCTTCTCCTCCTGTTTCTCTTCCTCCTCCCCTTCTCCTCTCACTCCTCTTCTCTTTCTCCTCCCCTTCTCTTCTTCCTCCTTTGTCTTCCTCCTCCTTATCTTCCTCCTCCCCTTCCTCCTTTCTATTCCTCTTCCTCCTCCTCCCTCCTCCTCCTCCTCTTGTTTCTCTTCCTCCTCCCCTTCTCCTCTTTCTCTTCCTTCTCCTCCCTCCTCCTCCTCCTCCTTATCTTCCTCCTCCCCTCCCTCCTCCTCTTCTCCTCCTCCTGTTTCTCTTCCTCCTCCTCCTCCTCCTCCTCTCTNACCTTGAGCCGGTGAGATTTGAACCGCCAAACTGCAGAACTGCAGTCAGCTGAAGTGGCCTGCAGTACAGCACCCTAACCACTGCGCCACCTCGGCTCTTCATAATAACCCAAAGACGGCCGATAAACAGCTCGAAAAACAGCCTGTTTTGGGCCATTTTTCTGGATGTTTTCAGCCCATTTTTCAGGCCGTTTTCTGGCGCTCCAGTGCCCATGAAGACCAGCCTGCCCGCCAGAAACGAGAGCAGCTGGCGATGGCATATGTGCCCACACAGAGCGCTCTGTGTATTACCGTTGGAACCCCTGACCTAGGTTCACCATCATGGGGGTAGGCTTTGGGGGGGGGGGCTTTGTGTCATAGTAACAATGTTGTGTTGAGGATGCTGGGACCTGAGTGGTGCTTTTTTGTGCATCCTTGGAGGATTGCTGGTTTTGTTTTTTTGCAGAGTTAATCCCCTGTTTTTGGCTGATTTTTTTTTTGGGGGGGGGGGCTTCTTGCCTTGTCTCCTTTTTTTTCCAAAGGGCGGATTGGCGTCTCTGAAGGCCTGAGGTTCCTGGAAAAGCGGGGGGGGGGGGCTCTGACCATGGGCCTAGGAGAGGGCCTAGGAGAATGGCACTGTGCACGCCTTCCTCGAGTTTACAACCATTCCTTTTAGGGACGGTTCGAAAGGGACAATGGCGGCGGAAAAAGGGGACGTACGGCCATTAATGGCCATTGCCAGGGTCACGTGGTCAGAATTGAGACCCTCTCGTATTTATGACGGTCGCACGTCATCCCCTTTGGCGACCTTCTGACGAGTGAAGTCAAAGGGAGATTCACTCAACCATCGGGCTACTGTCCTATCAACTGCGCTGATTCCCTTAACGGCGGTGGCAGGGAAGGTGGTCGTAAAAAGGGCAACATGCACTTCACCGCTGTCTCACTTAGCAACCCAAATTTTGGGCTTCAGTTGTCATATGTCGAGACCGCCTGTTTTATATGATGGTTTGTCACACAGTCAGCCAGATGTTCAGACTGGATTTGACAGTTTCGTCCCTCTATCGAATCTTTCCCAAGGATCCGGGAGGGGTAGTTGTGGGTGTTTGATGAAGTTAAAGGAGGATGATGATGATGATGATGATGATGATGATGATATTAAAGATATTAAAGGATGAAAGCTGCTCGAAAGCAGACAAAATCCCATCGGAGTGGGAAGTAATAAAGAAGATATCAGATTGTGTAGAAATGAACAGGTTGACATTGAGAATAGAGGACAAAGAGGAATCAGTGTATTTACAGGACATGGGGGCGATTTTACGAGTGGTTCGAAAAAAACGGTATAAATAGAAAGAAAAAGGAACAAAACATGAAATAAGTATCTCAGACGACACATGATTAAAATATAGGGGGAGAGGAAATAAGAAAATATTAAAATGTAAATATACAGGTGGAAAAATGATATGAATTGATGGATTAAATGACAATTACAAGAATGTGTATCTAAGAATGAATTTGGAAGGAAAAAAAAACTTTTTACAAAAAAAAGGATGTAAATTGCTCCACGAAAAGCTGCCTTTTGCAATTGAAAAAACAACAACACCCTGTTTTTCCCCCATGCCTTCAATCTGCTAAACAACTATTTCCCACAACACTGTCAAAGTGTCTAGTAAGGCTGCATTGCTATTATGATGCTGAGCTTGTCGATCAGAAAGTTCAGCGGTTCGAATCCCTAGCGCCGCGTAACGGAGTGAGCTCCCGTGACTTGTCCCAGCTTCTGCCAACCTAGCAGTTCGAAAGCACGTCAAAAATGCAAGTAGAAAAACAGGAACCAACTNGAGTCCTTGGAGGTGACACACCACTTTTAAAAAACAACAACATAGAATGCACCCGAATTAATGCTCCTCACCAGGGAAGGAATGGGGGGAAAAAGAACTTAAAAGTTCATTTTCTGCAGCATATCAGTCCAATATTTGCTTATTTACTAAACTTTTATGCCATCCATCTCTCCTACGAGGTGACTCGAACCTCAACCCTAATTGTAATGTATAAGATTGCTCACACACAACACTCACACACATACACTCACAAATACACACACACAAATACACAGACACACACACACCATCACAGACATACAGACAAATACACACTCACATTCACACAAACACACACACACAAATACACACACTCACAAATACACAGAAACACACACAAATACACAAACTCACAAATACACATATTCAAAAATACACCAACACACACACATCACACACACATACAAATACACATGTGCACACAAATAGTGTGCAATATAATACATTGTAATATAAATAAAATGGTAATGTAACAGATAATATACCATGGTGTATGCCTATAATATAAAGTATCATATCAGGTAATGTAACATTGTAATCTAAATAAATGGTAATATTGTAAAAAAAAGTCAAATCGAGTTATGGAAGCAGGAAATGACGCTGAAATAATAAATTTTAAGGAGGAAATTAAATAAAAACTAAGGCGCTTTTGTGTGGTTGATTAAAAGGCCCCACTGAGATTTTCAAAGTTTCACTTCTCCTTTCTAAAATTTATGAATGAGAATCCCTGCTGGGTCCATCCGAAGGGAGCCAATCAGAACGACGCTGGGCGTGGCGGCGCTCTCCTTCCCGCCCGCCCCTCTTCTCCCTTCCACCAGAGAGCATGCCGGTCTCGAGAGTTCTGGCGGCCGCCTGGCTCGCCGCTCCCAGCGAGGCTGCGAACTACGGCCAATGAGAGAGCGGCGCGGTCCAGTAGGGGCGGAGCCGGCGGCTCCTCGGAACGTTCGCAAGCGGCGAGAGTGGGAATAGAAGGAGGGGGGGGGGGGCGATGCTGGAGCTCGCGCAGGCGCAGTGAGGGCTGGACTCTGGCTTTCAACCCGGGCAAGGCGGCGGCGGCGGCGGCGGCGAAGTGTTGCAGGTGAGCAGCTGCGCGCGCAGATGGGCCCCTTGCGCAGGGCCATCCTCCGCCCGCCTGGTTGCCCGGCGCTTCTGGTGGATGGGGAAGACATAAAGTGGGGCGCAAGGTGGGGGGAGCTTGGAAAGTGCGGGGAGGGGTGGTGGTCTTTGGGGCGTGCCTGGGGCTGGAAGCCTCGCCCATCCTTTTGCAACAGGGCGCCCGCGGGCCCTCAGGACTGCAACTTGCCAATGCTCCTGTTTTTTTGGATGGGAATTGGAGGGGGGGGACACGCCTTGGAGGGACCCCCAGAGGGGCACAAAGGCCTCCTCTCCCACCTCTGGCTAGCACTAGGCCAGGGGTGGCATATGCATGCATGTGCATGCATGCACAGGGAAACCCGAAGAGCCGAGGTGGCGCAGTGGTTAAATGCAGCACTGCAGGTTACTTCAGCTGACTGCAGTTCGGCTGTTCAAATCCCACCAGGCTCAAGGTTGACTCAGCCTTCCATCCTTCCGAGGTGGGTAAAATGAGGACCCGGATTGTTGTTGGGGACAATATGCTGACTCTGTAAACCGCTTAGAGAGAGCTGAAAGCCCTATGAAGCGGTATATAAGTCTAACTTGCTATTAAGACCANATTAAATAGACTAATAATGATGCAACGGAATATTGGTATATACACGAATCGAATATCTATAGCTTTTTGTTTAAAACGAAGGACTAACAATTGTAGTTGAATATACGATGTACAATGATAACAAGGTTTCTATGTATACTCGATGGACAATTTGTGATTTTATATACAACTGAAAATAGTGATGCGCAATTATAAAATGTTGGAGAATGTTTTCATATTGCAAGAATAATAAAATGAGATATTATAAAGACATATTATTATTAAATAGGCAAATAAGGATGCGATGGAATGTTGGCATATATATGAATCAAATTTCTAGAATATTTGTTTAAAATGAAGGAATAACAACTGTAGCTGAACATATGATGTATAATGATAATA